TACCTTCAAGGTCACAAGGGTTAAATATGTAAAAATCTTTAAACAACTTCTTCTGAATAACCAAGAGACCTAGAGCAATGATATTTGGCAAGTAGGTACCTGGGGCAGAGTGCTGTAAATTTCTCATATAAATGACCTTTACCCACTTTCAAGGTCACAGGGTTCAAAATTGTAAAAATGTTTAAACAACTTCTTCTAAATAACCAAGATGCTTAGAGCAATGATATTTTGCTAGAAGGTACCTTGGAAAGAGTGCTATAAAGTTTCTTCAAATAAATGACCTTGACTAGTATTCGAGGGCACAGGGGTCAAACATGTTGAAAAAATTTAAAACAACTTTTTCAGAATATTGGCCAGTAGGTACCTTGCATGAAGTGATATAAAGTTTCCTCAAACAAGTTGACAACAGTCAAATATTTTTAAAAACCTTTAAACATCTAATTCATATCAATAATCATGAGGCCCAGAGTAATGATATTTGGTATAGGTACCCGGGACAGAGTGCTATAAAGATTCCTCAAATGATTGTCCTTGACCTATTTTCAAGGACACAGGGTTCAAATTGTAAAACCCTTAAACAAGTTCTTCAGAACATGACAAGGTATTGGAAGGCAATCAATGGTCCCCGACCGGTAATGATTTCTAAATTTAACAAACAGTACACTGATGTCAGAATCTACCTACAATGTAATGTTCAAAACATAGGTGCACAGTGAGGTCATATAGACCTACATCTTGCACTCACCATCCCAAGATGTCCTTGTACACCAGATTTGCCCCTGACAAACTTTTTCAAAAGTAAAGGTAGAATGTCGAGTCATAGGTCACAATGACCTCATTCTTGCACTCTGCACTCCGCCATCCCAAGATGTCCTTGTACACCAAATCTGGTTACTCAAGGTGAAATAGTAAGATATGTCCTAGACAAACTTCTTGGATGGAAGGATGGAAGGAAGGGCGGATGGACGGACAGAGTGCAAACCTATAGTTCCCCCGGGAACCAGTGGGGGACTAATAACCAGGAGGCACAGAGGAATAATACTTGGCTAGTAGGTACCTGGGACCAAGTGCTATAAAGGTTCAAATATGTGAATACTTCTTTCGCAATACCAGGAGGCCCTGGGTGATGATATTTGACCACTAGCATACTGGGATAGAGTAGTATAAAATATCATTTAGTCTGGAACATTCTTACACCAAGGAAACTCAATATATGGAAATAATTGCAAAAGTATGTTTATTGAGAATATTTTCCCATTTTAACCAAATATCCAGGTCAGCGATACAGGACCCCTGGGCTTCTTGCTGGATATAGTTGTTGGTCACAGCGACAGTGAAGTAATCTGATGTCCAGGGTTCGAACCCCTGTCTAGCTAGTCATGCTGATTTTTAGCTGACCAGCTGTCCCGAGGGGCCAAGTGAGCTTATGCTGTGGCACGGTGTCTATCGTCTAGCATCAAGATTTTACTTTAAACCACTTCTTCTTCATAAACGACAGGCCTAGGGTGATGATATTTGTCCACAAGCATACTAGGATGAAGGGCTACCAAATTAAATGTTAAAATAAATGACTCACTCATATTCAAAGTCACAGGAATCAATCGTCTTATATAACTTTTAAACGACTTCTTCTGAATAACCAAAATGACCAGGGTGATAATATCTGGCCAGAATGCTGGGATGAAGGGCTATAAAATGTGTTCAAATGAATGACCTTAAAATATTCAAGGTCATAGGGATCAAATCTGTTAAACATTTTAATCATCTTCTTCTGAATAAGCAAAATGCAAAGGGTGATGTTATGTGACTAGTAGCATGCTCAGATGAAGATCTATCAAGTTTGTTCATGTGAAGTGTTGTCACACTTCCAGTGTCACATCTGGTCAATTGTGTATACACTTTTTAAAGTCATTTTCTAAATAATAAAAAGATATAGGGTGGCGATATTTGACAAGTTGCAATCCTGGATGAAGGGCTTTAAAGTTTGTTCAACTTAATGTGCTTGTTTGGCTTTCAAGGTCACAGGGGTCAAATATGTTTAAATCTTTTAACAGGTTCTTTTGAATGACTTTGAGTCAAGACATTGATATTTAGCCTGTTGCTTTATTAAAGTCCACTTTTAAGGTTACAATTGTGAGATCAATACCAGGTGAGCGATGCAGGCCCTTTGGGACTCTTGTTATATTTTCACAGATATGCGACATTGCTAAGAAAGAAGAAATAACAATAACAAGAGGCCAAGAGGGCCTGTATTGCTCAACTGTTTCTTTTGTTACATGAAACTGACATATAGGTAACTTCAGACCGAATTTGGTAACTAGAACACAAGACATTTTAACATCTCTTAAACTTTTCTTAAGATATTGCTGTTTTAAATTTTAAATTTTAATTTTAAAGCTTTCAACTCACGTCAACCTTTGACCCCCGACTAGCATGTAAGGAGGCTCCATCCTATCGCAATTAACTGGCAGAATTAAATGAAAGTTTTACATAATTGTTATGTCACTATATAGAGATGATTTTATGAATATCTAAGCATTCTGATAAACTAGGGATTTTTTGGTAAAAAATACCGAAAAATTGAATGTTTGTCAACTTAAACACTTTCACATTATTTGAGTCTGTGGCATTGTTCAAAACTATTACAATAAAATAATGAAAAGAAGCATTGCTAACCAAACCTACAAATATTTTATGGAATTGTATAGATATGGAATTGTATAGATAACAGTTATTATATATAAGCTAAATGCCAACAGGACACATAGTTTCATACAAAAAGAATGAAAAATTGAACCAAATACACACAAAGTCTTTATAATTAATTTATTTTACATTTTACAATAATTTTGATCCTGATGAGAGTTGTCTACCTTAAAATAAATCAGAACTTTTTGCAGAGGGATAGAATTTATACAATGACAGTTTTTTTTTTTACTATATACCAAAAACGACGGATTTCAATAAAATTATTATATTAAATTATCTGACAGAGCGTAACTTGTTTGACAACAAAAGTCGTAGCGACCCCGAGCTTATGAACTACTGTTAGCACGTGATATACATGTATGTACAGGTGAGGTCGGTGAACAAAACACATCAGTCTGCATTCCATGCGCCTCATGTACGACCTTCTTGAAGTCGTCTGATCTTACGTCAGTGTCTTCCCGTGATTTCACTAATGTCTTTGTATCATAAGCTTTATTTCTGAAATACGTGTGATTACACATTTCAAAGTTAAGTCATGATATCGGGTGTTGACATATCATCGTCACAAACGTGTTTTATTGTTTAACATATTTGACCCCTGTGACCTTGAAAGTAGGACAAGGTCATTTAGTGAGGAAACTTCATAGCACTCCATCCCAGGTACCTTCTTGCTAAATATCATAACCCTAGGTCCTTCAGTTCTTCAGAAGAACTCGTTCAAAAGAAAAAAGTTTGCAGCCGGACAGATGCCGGATGCCGCAGTACGGCATAAGCCTTCGGGCCAGGTGAGCTTAATATGCATGGGTCAATTGAGATGAATGTAAGATCATTTACCATGTGTAGACACTAGTTTGTCTCATACATTTATTTCATGCCTGTGTCAGTAATAGTCTGAGATATACTTTCAGGCTGATGCATTTGGAACAGTACCATTTCCCAAAGTCTTTTTGTTTGGCTTCTCTTAAAATTACTTTTGTTAAAATCCAAAGTGACTGCCATGACCTCCGATTGTTTAATTTCATGACTTTTGCAATATCTCCTTAGCGCTTATTTTTTATATGCCCGTCTCAACAGGTCGCATCATGGTAAATCATCTGTCCGTTAACTTTTCGGTGTCGGCTCAATATCTTAAGTAACTATTAACTGAATAACTTCAAATCTGATCAGAGAGATACCTGTTTTTATCGTCTCTACAAGGCAGTTATCCGGAACTGTGCAGAATTAAGCTTGTCTGTCAGTCCCTCTATTCACCTATAGACCGAAAGTGTACAGGCAACACCCCAGGAAGTACTATGGTGCATCTTGTCCTCGTCAACTTCCTGAGTCCAAAGATAATGGTCTATAATATGTGAAAGTTTGTNGAAGATTATGGTCTATAATATGTGAAAGTTTGTGGAGAGGTCGGCTACGTAAATACATATAGATATCCAGTACATTCAAATAGTACTTTGCATGCATATGAAATAAACAACTTGAAGGTACTATACACTTATGCTTTCATTAATACAAAATCTGTAACTTTCGTATTCTTCCTCAGAAATGAGGGGTTAGGTCTAATTATCAATCTAATTTTTTCATTCGGGTCTAATTATTATTGTTACTTTTTCACTCAGGTCTAATTATCAATCTTAACTTTTTCACTCGGGTCTAATTATCAATGTTACTTTTTCACTCAGGTCTAATTATCAATCCAACTTTTTCACTCGGGTCTTATTATTAATGTTACTTTTTCACTCGGGATCAATTATCAATCCAACTTTTTCACTCAGGTCTAATTATCAATCTAATTTTTTCATGCCGGTCTAATTAATAATGTTACTTTTTCAATCCGGTCCAATTATCAATGTTACTTTTTCAACTTCTTGTGTTATCCTCTCCACTGTGTTCTTCACCACTTGAGCATCATCTCCATATACATGTATGACCCCGACTTCCTTGGTAAGCAATCTAACACAGTTTGCTGTCTCAGAAATAAGTCTGTTGAGGTGTTCTCGCTCGCTTTCCAGGATTTGTCCACAAATCTTACCATGAACGACAGCATCATCGTTGGTCAACACCTTTTCAGTGAAACCTAGTCCCATTCCATTTCGGAAGTTTTGGACTTCGCGTGTCATCTCTTCTGTTATTTCCTCCACCACTTCAGCATCAGACCCATACACCTGTATAAATCCTTCTATATCCTTTTTCACAACTAAATCCATTTCAGCCTCTGCCAAAATATATTCCACTTTCTGTGCTCTTCCGAAGATCCTTCCACAAATCATTCGATGAAACCTCCTCTCCTCATCAGTTAACACCTTTCCTGTGAAGCTAGAGTCCAACATTGTTTTAAACTCTTTGAATTCCTGTGCTATCATTTCTGCTGCATTCTTCACATCTTCAGCATCTGCCCCACTAACATATATACCCTCAACATCATCAAAATGTATATGTAAGCGGTCTCCAAACTCTGACCTAAATCTCTCGATGTTCTCCCCTTCTCTTCCAATAAACTTTCTATAGAACATTGGATACATATCTGTTTCGTTCCCCATCAACACCTTTTCTGTGAAAAAGTCGGCCATTTCCTCTTTGATTCTTGTGACTTCCTGTGTTGTCATTTCCACTGCAGCCTTCACCATTTCTAGATCAAACCCAGAGACAACAATAACCCCAGTTTTTTTTATATACAATTGTGCCTTATTACAATGTATTCTTATTGGGTCTCCTTCCTTATCAGTGATTTCACTACAAATCAGATTGTGCATTCCAGGATTATCATCGGTGGACACTTCTGTGTAAAATAGCCTCCTCCTGATGTGAAACTTAACGTTTTCCACTTCCTGTAAAATAAATTACAGAATAACTTAAAGTAACAAATACTTTTTTCAACCTTAATATTAACAACTAAAAAAACAAGAGGCCCAGAGGGCCTGTATCGCTCACCTGAATATATGTTTAAAATCATTGGTATGAAGTAAAGATATAGCACTCCATGGTAGGTGCTGTAAGTACATATGAAATTTCAGAAAGATCCATCAAGTACTTGAGATATAGCAAGAGCAAACTTCAAACAGAGCCCCACCCCTATGCCCTGAGGGGGTCATACCCACCATTTATACAAAATTGAGTCCCCTTGACCCAAGGATGCTCCAGACTAAATTAGGATACAATCCCTTAATCCCTATGGTAGAAGAAAGATTTTAAAAGGCTTACCTCTATTTCCCCTATTGAGCCCTGCCTCTTTTCCTCTAGGGAAGTCAGACACACTGTTTATACAAAATTGGTTCCCCTTCACCCTTCAGATCAAATATGGAACAAACCCTTTCATTCCTACAGAAGAAGGATTTTAAAGAATTTGCTATATTTCCCCTATTGGGCCCGCCCCTCATGCAGCCCCCAGGGTCCCCCTTCCCCCAAGGATGCTTCTGATCAAATTTGGTCAAAAACTCCTCAGTCATTCATGACTAGTAGCGATTTTTTATGAATAGTTAACGGACGAAGGACGCTGGATACTGCCCTGGCATGGCATAATCTCCCCGGTCCTTTGGACCAGGTGAGCTAATATAAGGATACGGTTTAAATAACTATTTACTATTTGTTTGTAAAGCAATCTCTATTATGTACCTTTAGGTGCATCTGAATATACGATTGTTTTATGAATATCATATATGTATAAAACATACATTTTAAGTAAGAAACGATGTTCTTTCTACCCTGCAATATTTACATGGGAGACAACTCTTGCACATAATTATGTTCAATATGTTCGTCTGCTTTGTAAAACTTATTAAATCATTGGTTTATTTGCAATGATTCAATGATGCATTATCATTAGCAAAATGTCTTACATACAATGCATACTCGTAACTTTTCAATCAAAACCTGTAAGGTGGAGATGCATTTTAAAGCAAATGATGAGCGTCTAAAAGGCCCTTTTTTGGGCCCCGATATATTCAGATTTTCACCTCCTTTTTTTTGTTTAAAGATGTTCTATTGTATGACATGCAGAAAAACTTAGGTAAAACTTCGACCGAAAGTGGGTTTCTGGGGGTACCAAAAGGGGTATGTAAATCACAAATATACTTTGCTGTTTTCAAAATGAGCTAAAAAAAACAATATAATCCCATTTCTGTTATTGAAAACATGCATAAACTAGAAATTGTTGGCTAACAATTTGACGGGCTTTTCACTGGAAGGACTGATTTAGCCTTCTAATAATAACCTGCACAAGTCTACAGTAGCTGGCTGAGTAGTGGGGGATTCCCGGAGTGTGAAATGACGTCAGAGAAAGACTGGATAAATATAGGCAGCCAATGGGCAGTGTTGTGTGTTTTATACGAAGCTAGTCCGTAAAATATAGTCCGTCCACTATGTACGTCAGGATGATTTATTGAAACTATCTTTGTGTCTGTATCGGTTGGGTTTGCCACGCCAAAGAAAGGCTGATGTTTACCCACTGCAATAGAGGTGTAAACTGTCCACATTTTTAAGATTGGGAGTTCGTAGTAATCGATGTAGTATTACCAGCGTGTATTAGATGTCTTGATGCAAATCAAAGTACTGAGAGTACTGAAAAGCACTTCACAATCGCACAAAAATGAAAACAGTTTTTGACTTTCACCTTTGAAATTATATTTGGAGTAGGTCAAGGTCGTTCATTTGCACACACTTTAAAGCATTCATTCAAGCATGCTTTTTTGCCAAACATCGTTACCCTGGAGTTATTGGTTATTCAGAAAAAGTGGTTTCAATATTTTTACACATATGACCTCTGTGACCTTGAAAGTCATTCAAGGTCATTCATTTTTTCAAACTTGATAGTCAATTACCTAACCATGTTTTGTATCAAATAGTAGGACTCTAGACCTTGTAGAACTTTAGGAGAAGTTTTTTGAAGTCATTATCTTGAAATAGCACATATGAAGTTTGTGACCTTGATTGTGACCTTGATAGTTGATCAATGTCAACCATTTTTTCAAACCTGATACCCAGACATCTCAGAATTCTTATTATTAAATATCAAGACTCTAGACCTTGTGGAACTTGAGAAGAAGATTTTTTAAGGTATATAGTGACTTTTAACTTTGACCCCTGCGGAAAACTGGAAGTTGATATTTTTTGTTAAAAAGTATGAAAGAAAAAGTTTTCCCTTGGCTATCTCTATATGATATCCAAAGATCAACCTTGTGTTTGATATCGTTAACGAAATATATTGGTATAGGCTGTTAACCAATCAGAGTTTGTGGCGGCCATCTTGGAATATTAATGGCTCCAAAAAGTAACATAAGTTTGTAAGGGCCCCTAGAGGATTTCATGTATTTATTGTGGTTAATATTGCAATGGCAGAATTGGAGAAGAAGATCGTTGAAGTTTTAACATATTGTCAGCATTTAAAAAGATCAAAGGAAATATTCAAAATGGCATACAACGTTAGCGGTAAATGTTACAGAAAAACTAAAGACATCGAATTCATCAGAATGCAATTCTTCATCAATCTATTGAAGACTTTGTTGGCTTTATCTGTTGAAACTACCAGCAAAATATTATTATAAGATTCTATGCTTTTTGATTCTTCTTCAGAAGTTGCCCGACATATTTTTCCTTTTGATCTTGTCAGTAGGTCAATGTCATTTTCATTCTCAAACTTTGTTCGGCTCTTTCCTAGGAAGCTACAAGCCAAATAGAGATTATATACCTTTCAGTTCTTCAGAAGAAGCCATTTAAAGTGTTTGACATATCTGCCTCATGTGACCTGAAAAGGAGGTCAAGGTCATTTTCATTCTCAAACTGTGTTGTGCTCCAACCCAGGAAGCCATCAGCCAAATATGGTGAAGATTCTATACCTTTCAGTTCTTCAGAAGAAGTCATTTAAAGTGTTTGACATATCTATCTCATGTGACCTGAAAAGAAGGTCAAGGTCATTTTCATTCTCAAACTTTGTTGGGCTCTTTCCCAGAAAGCTACAAGCCAAATATAGAGATTATATACCTTTCAGTTCTTCAGAAGAAGTCGTTTTAAGCATTAGACATATCAGACTCCTGTGACCTTGAAAGTAGGTCAGTCATTTTCGTTTTCAAACTTTGTTAAGCTCTATCCCAGGAAACCATCAGCCAAATATGAAGATTCTATACCTTTCAGTTCTTCAGAAGAAATTGTTTGAAGCGTTTGACACATTTGACTCCTGTGACCTTGAAAGTAAGTCAAGGTAATTTTCATTCTCAAACTGTGTTGTGCTCCAACCCAGGAATCCATCAGCCAAATATGGTGAAGATTCTATACCTTTTAGTTCTTCAGAAGAAATCGTTTGAAGTTTTTGACATAGTTGACCCCTATGACCTTGAAAGTAGGTCAAGGTAATTTTCATTCACAAACTTTGTTGTGCTCCATCCAAGGAATCAATCAGCCAAATATGAAGATTCTATGCCTTTTAGTTCTTCAGAAGAAGTCATTTGAAGTTTTTGACATATTTGAATCCTGTGACCTTGAAAGTAGGTCAAGGTAATTTTCATTCTCAAACTTTGTTGTGCTCCATCCCAGGAATCCATCAGCCAAATATGAAGATTCTATACCTTTCAGTTCTTCAGAAGAAATAGTTTGAAGTTTTTGACATATTTGACCCCTGTGACCTTGCAAGTAGGTCAAGGTCATTTTCGTTCTCAAACTTTGTCGGGCTCCTACCAACAAAGCTTTCAATCAAATATCATGACTCTAGACCTGTCCGTTCTTCAGAAGAAGTTGTTTAAAGGAAAAGTTGACGGACGAGGATAGACGAGGGACAACGGACGAACGCCACACCATGACATAAGCTCACTTGCCCTTCGGGCAGGTGAGCTAACAAGAGATCCCAGAGGGATCTTGGCACCCACCTTTAAACCATCTTCATTAGTTCTTTGTCAGTTTGATCTTTTCTCTTCTTTCCTCTAATCTGTTTGATCGAGTCATGTTAACAGTAAATGCACCTTGGGGTAACTTTTGATCTAAACTTAATACTAATGTGTATGAAAGCCAACCTTCAAAGTGAGTTTGTCATTTCACATATTTACTAGTACAGTACTTAATGTGAAGGAAATAGAATCGATCATTGCAATATGAGAAAGATCTGTTTAGTTCTTCTTTTTATCCATTTTGTTTTTATGATCAGTCTCAAAATATAACATACACAACGAGGGATCAAGGGGAACCTACATTTAAAATTTGAGAAAGATCCCTCCCATACTTCCCGAGAAATAGCGTTAACAAACTTTCACTATCAAAATCAAAGATATCTGCCTGTCGGCCATGTTGTTTATCCGATCAGTCTCTAAAATTGCCCTGCACAGCTAGGAACAAGGGAAACCTACATATAAAATTTAAGAAAGATCCCTCTAGTTCTTCCGGAGAAATAGTGGTAACAAACCCACACTATCAAAATCCAAGAAGGCTACCTGTCGGCCATGTTGTTTATCTGATCAATCTCAAAAGTGTCACTGCACAGCTAAGGACCAAGGGGAACCTACATATAAAATTTGAGAAAGATCCCTTTGGTACTTCTTTAGAAATAGCGATAACAAACTTTCACTATTAAAATCCAAGATAGCTGCCTGTCGGCCAGGTTGTTTATCCGATCAGTCTCAAAAGTTGCCCTGTACAGCTAAGGACCAAGGGGAACCTACATAAAAAAATTGAGAAAGATCCCTCTGGTGCTTCTTGAGAAATACCGATAACAAACTTTCAATATCAAAATCCAAGAAGGCTACCTGTCGGCCATGTTGTTTATCTGATCAATCTCAAAAGTTTCACTGCACAGCTAAGGACCAAGGGGAACCTACATATAAAATTTGAGAAAGATCCCTTTGGAATTGTTTACGGACGGACAACGGATGACGGAACCACGGACCACAGACGCAGGGTGATTTGAATAGCCCACCATCAGTTGATGGTGGGCTAAAAAAGTCATTTGCCACCACAACTTCTGTAAAATGATTGATTTAATATATGAAGTTTGATTTGCTGGTAATTTTAAGTCTCCTAGCCTAGACACTCATCCTTTAGTTAAGTTCCCCTTCAGGGCCCCGCCGCCCTGGCCTCAGGGTTCGAACCATCCTCATTAATTTAAGAAATGATTGCCTTTCCTACTGATACTTCAGACTTAATTTGGTTGAAATCCTCTCTGGCATTAAGCAGTAGATGCGTTTTAAAGCAAATTTATATATAGAATTAGCTACGTTCCCATTCAGGACCCAGCCTAGTCCGAATTATTCTGATGTTTTATATGTTTTTTATATCGGTTTGTCGTCAGAACTCTGGCCCTCTATAATAATATGCGGGAAATAAGCGACCCGCACCAGGGAAATACCTTTGGTAACGCGAGAACTGGTCAAGTGATCATATGACATTGCTCATGCCCTAATTACCATTATAAACATGGGTTGGTATAGAAAACGTTGGAAAATACTGTTCGTTATGATCTTTGACACATGTTATTGATACCACATATAGTGCATAAAGAATAGATCTTTCGATCCATGTGCGACATGTGTGTGAAATTGACGATTTGTTTCTAAAATATCAGTTTGAAGAGCGACCCAGGCGCGGGTTGCTTATTTCCCGCATATTATAGAGGGCCGGATTTCTGACGTTAATCGACGACAGACCGATATCAAAAAAAAATGATAAAACGTCAGAATAATTCTGACTAGGCCCCGCCCCAGTCTTCTCCCGAGAATTTTTTTGATGCGCTATGGTATTCTTTAACCCTTCCATCACAGCACGGCGCTGTCAACCATTACCGCATCGATCGCAACTCATCTATTGTTTGCGACACCATTTCAGAAAGGAAACTCAAAACAAAAGTTATAGTTGATGTATTTAATTTTAAATAAATAGCATTACTTATTACACTGACATTGCATTATATTATTGCTCATTTTATTGCCCTTCTCTTTTTTCTTTATTGCTATTTTTTGAACAGCTACAAACAAAATAGTCGACTCAAGAAAATGGATGATTTTAGCAATTAAAACTTCAGCATTTTTTTCCCAAGAATATCAGGCATCATATATAGAAATTAAATGAATATATGTCCCGGGAATATATAAATTATAATAACATTTCCAACCAAAGGTATTTATTTGGACAAGTCCAATGCATGCGTAACGGTAAACTGGTGATGCATAACGGCTCAAAATTCATGCGTAACGGTACCGTAGCGCTGAAACAGCCTAGGGAGAACACTGCTGCACCCCCTGACCTCAGGGACTGAACCAACCTCATTTATTTAAGAAATGATTGCCCATCCATACTGTTGCTTCAGTCCAAATTTGGTTGAAATCCTATTTGGTGTTTAGAAGGAGATAAGTTTTTGAAGAAAAAGTTGACAACGGACAACGACGATGGACGACGGATGCTGCGCCACGGCATAAGCTCACTATGGTCCTCCGGACCAGGTGAGCTAATAAATAGTGAGCTTCCGAAGGGGATCGAACCCACGGTCCCAACGTCACTGTATCCAAATCGGGACACTTTTTATATAAATATCAATGTCCTTTATACCATACTATCAATTCCAAAATTGTTTGTTAATTTTTCATAAACAGATACCATCCACTTTTCATTTCTATCACAATTTGATATTTCGGGCCCGTCGTTCTATTAAAAGAAAATGAAATACCATCAGAGTTGCGTAGGCCCTTGAACCAGCGTTACTGCACCCTGAAATGTATACTTTCAGTATTTTGGCGAACATTTGGGGATAGACGACGAATATCACCAGAAAATATACATAGTTGAAATATTGTAGTGTCAACAAGTGTTCTGATTAAATTTCTTCTCAAAACTAATATTTGTTTGGGTAAAATAGACTTTTGAAAATGATATCCAAACAAATAGCGTCGCATGGCACGTAAATCAGGAAAGTCTTGTTTTGGTTATTATTCTACCTTGAAATGGTCTATGTAATGGTATAATCAGCAGCCAATAAAGCTTATATTAATTAGTAGTTTAAATGTCATGAAAAGTATTATCAAATGAAAACTGTATATATACATGAAAGTACTTCTTTGCATTGAATGACAGTTTCTTGGGCTGTTTTCTCACAAGTGTCCCGTTTTGGGTACAGTCCCGATTTGGGTACAGTGACAGTAAAGGTTCCTTGTCGAATGCTCTACCACTGTGAAACTCCTTATATATAGCTACCTCAAAGCTAGAAGGTGACCTTATATTAATCCTATGTACAATAAAATCTGCCACATAAGTAACAGTTTGTCCTCACCACAGGTACATATCGCGACTGAGAGAGAAATGTGATAAGATACCATCATATTTTATCTCTCCGTTGGATATCCGCCTAAGGCGACAGTACCCAAATCGGATCACCAAACCATCATAGTTTCATTCACTGAAAAATCTGAGGAGGAATTATATTAATCTATGGTTGTTTCAAAAGAATATCGATGGAAGTGCTTACAAACTAAATTAGCACCGGGGTTCACTTGAGATATTTATAGAACGCTCTGAAGCCACCAATCACTGTTTCACTTTTTTTTGCAAATGTCAGGACCGACCCAAATCGGCTCAAGGCTTAAAGCTTGAATTTTGCAGTATCTTAATAGGTAGTGTGACTTCAAATAAATATTTTTTGTCTGCATATTAACATTTTATGATGACCTTTAGAATTTATAATACAAAAAGCATTTCTTTACAGTACAGTAGTGGGAATTTATTCCTATAGTCCAAAGCAGAATGCATAGTCGTCGCACCGAATGCTAGACGCCTCGGCACTTGGTGAAGTCGGCACTTGGTTTCCTCGGCACTGATATTTTCGGCACTTGGTTACCTCGGCACTGTGTGAAGACAAGTCGGTACTTATTTTTTTTCTGAAATCCGTTAATCCGGTATGTCTTCTATGGAATCCATCCACCATCATATTTCTCAAATGGAAAAATATTTTTAATGAGTTAATTCTAATTGTCCGGACAATCAACTGTCGAATAGTTTAAGAGTCTATATCATTTTATCTTTAATTTAATTAATTTAATTCTGTAATTATTCTAATTTGTTGTAATTTGTGCAAATTATTAAAAAATATATAACGTGATACCCCAACTGAAACACTTTTTTGAAATGTTCAATTTTGGGTATGAAATGATGCATGAAAAGTCATTAGTTGACGTATGTTCACAGCAATAATAACACCACACTAAGAACTCGATTAAAACACTATATTTTAATCTATTAGTCATAAATCGAAAACAATAATACTAGACAATGAGAAAATTTAAAATATCTAATTATCGGGACGTATATAACATGTATATTAAATAGATTACTAAGTATATCGGGACATATATATAACATGTATATTAAATAGATTACTAAGTATAAATATTCATCAGGAAAATTTGATTATTCGGTACTTGTCTTTATATATATAATGTATAAATGTATAATGGAGCATGTACTGAAAGATAATTGCAGTTATAATTTTTAACCCAATCATAATTTTACAAATTTTAGAATAACGAAAGTTTTAAATTGGTATACATAACCATTTACAAAGAATACGATAAGACGAATACAGATAACACATCTGCAATATATCCTTCCAGTACACGTTCCATATAATTAGACTTAATTAATTCAGGTACTTACCAGACTTGCATATTCGGTGCTGCCAACGCGAGCAACTGTCGCACTGCAATGCCTCCTGACGCGGTCTTACAACACGGTTGCACGAAACACGAGTTGCCGGTGGATCAGGCATGACTCGATTAAGTGTAATACTTCAGTGTACAGGCACCTAATTTATATCCTGCGATATTCTTTCATTTTTCAATTTCATCATTGATTGGTTAATTTGATTCTTTTTGAATCAACACCTACGGATGTAATAGAAACATTGATTTGCGGCGTGTGTTTTTTAAAGTTAATACATTGCGTCAAAATGATTTCGAACTTCAAAGAAAATATGTTTCTGAAATTTACGCTTTAGCTACAACTTGTATGATCATGGCTTCGTTGTTTTCTTAATGATCACAACCACCTGTGCATGATGACAAGATACATGAATGTGAAAACAAACACTTACAGTCATTAACGCTCTACATACACTTTGTTGCAACTGAACTTGCGTGTTTTATTTTTTTAACAACAACTAAACCGTGCAATACAAAAAATAAACAAGAATGACAATAGAAGTCCATTCTTTACACGTACATGTTTTGAACATGTTAACACAACATAATGAAAACAATAACACATGAATTGGTGTAATTAAAATAGAAGACCATGTACAAGAAAAAAAATCAATTGTTGTTTTATAAAGTACCAAAATAAAAAAAAACAAGTGCCGAGGTGTCCCATTGAAAATGCCGAGGTGACCCGAAAAAGTGCCGAGGTGTCTCGAAACGTAAGTGCCGAGATGACCTGTTACCGTCGCACCGACATTTGAGTTTTGACCTTAAAAAACTAACGATCTGTAGACAAAATTGAAAAAATGTTGCATGGCTATCTATTCAGCTATTATAAGGCTACATCATTGACATAAATGATTTGTTGACACATTTATTGATTTATAAGTATTTTGCAAAAGGTGATCCGATTTGGGTACTGTCACCTTATGTTGTATTATTATGCGTAACACATTCTAAAAAGACTTTTCTTGATTTTTTGTATTAGGTTACCTTTTCTATTGCTTTGTTCACTATGTCAGACTCATCATACACTTGTAAAAAGCCAGTTTTCCAGCCTTCAGTCGTAACAATGCGCTCGGGTACAAATTCTGACAATATTCTTCTCAAATTATGTCCCTGTTTTCCGATGACAAACCTAGTTATCGTATCGTGAATAAATCTATCATCGTCTGTTTGCACTTCGTAGACTCTTAAACTTGACAGAGATTGATCTGTAAGAAACTTGACTTTGTGTGACACTTTTTCGATTGTATCCTTTAACACTTCAGCATCAGTGGCAGATATATATATGTAATTATCGCGTACACTAATTTCAGCTCCAAATCCACACTCTGAAAGGGTTGTAGCAAGATTTTGCTCGTGAACTCCTATGAAAGAACCACCGATTGTTGGAGGTATGGGCAATCTTTTCACTATCCGTCGATGATTCCAGTCCGGTACATCTGAAATACATTGTCTCAATATTCTATGCGGACAACCCAAGTCTTGAAACACAAATTTTGCTTTTCTAGCTGCAAAAAGACTTGCAACCTTGCGGTGAGCGGTAATCAATCGGTATTCGCGTGCTATCAGATGAGAAGCCATTATGGGTGTTCCTAAATCGCGGAAGGAAAGCGGAACGAAACGGAATACCGGAACGGGGCGATAACGTTAGGCCTAGTGCAAGCAAATTCGCCATGTACCTAAATTCGCCACCCTGTGACGAAAATGCCATTTGACGTCATAATACATAAGATGTGACGTAAATAATGTCACCATAGTCTTCTACACAGTTAAAGCCTTCAAATAGTTTGACAAGAAGAGGTATAAGAGGGGAAAAGTTAATAAAAAGTTAAAATATCTTGTAACACAACGAATCTAAAAAAAATGGTCTGTGCAGAGACGGGGCGCGTCTAATTACCCAATACTACCCAATACCACCCAATACTACCCAATACTACCCCATACGATCCAGTTATGNAGTTTGAAATTGGTTCACGGTTATTTAGTGTAAATTGATTACATACAAATGAAAATACCCACATCTTAACACTTATTGCAGTTAATGCAAGTAAATGAACTGACGATCCAATGCGTGTTTATGGAAATGACGATCGGAAATATCCGGCGCGATTTGATAATTCGTCAGTTTCCATTTCCATGCAATGTGTATTTACAATACAATCAATCAGTATCTTTTAAACCTGTTGTTTGCGTCTTACTTTCAACAATCTTACAACACTTAAATTGAAATACCATCTAGAAATTTTCTAGATTTATATCTGAAAGGAATTTGTTGTCTGCCTGAAAGTACTGCTGTACAATCGCATGCTGATAGTACGCAGAGACCGACAATTGTCAACAACTGGGTTTTTTTTTTACATGAAAAGGTAAGTACATGTGTATATTTACAACACCTAGCCTGGCAGTCTTTGTTGGATAAGTTTTCAAGCCCAAAAAAATCGTTTTAATTTGTCAGATTTTTCGTGCGGTGCCAATCGCTCGCCTCCAATGAAATCGCATCTATCTTCTCGTTTACGGAAATTGCCGACGGTTCCCGATTGGGTGACGCCCTGTACGGAAGCACGTTGTCGTTTATGTCTTTTTTGTGTTTTGCCCCCCAAAAATAGGCTCACGATCTTTTGGGAAACTTCTTGAGTGTTAAATCAGTTGGTGGAAATCTTTGACTACGTGCCACATGTAAATGATGACCTGCGAAAATATGTGTGCTGCCTTTGGATTGTTTCCTTTGATTGATTGATTGATTGATAGCAGATAGGTTTTACGTCCGCTTCAATACCGAGTATTTAGAGCAGACTTCCCGCCCAATCGAATAGTACTTGACGCCAAGAACACCAAATATAGAAATAAATTATATGGTCATAAAAAACACCATTTAGTCACGTGCCTAATGATTTAATAAAAGAACACAAATTAGAAAACATCCAAATTGAAGAAACATCCCCTAACCCAACACCGCCATGGTTACTAGGCCAACCAGATATTAGCACAGATATTTTAAACGCGACAAATAAAAAAGAATATCCAACAGCAGCTAAGGCAATAGCTTTATCTATTATCGATGATAAATATAAAAACACCTCAATACTATACATACGGGTCTAAAAACCCTGACAATAATAGAGTAGGAAAAGGGATTTATTCATCAGAAAATAATATAGCAATATCCGTAAGACTAACTGATAACTGTTCTGCATATACTAGCGAATTAATAGCTATAGGTTTGGCACTTAGAATTATTGACCAAGAAAAACCAGAACAAGGGGCCGTAATTCTAACAGATAGTATATCCTCGATCACTACAATTGATAGTAACTAAAAACAGTACAAGAACCACCGTACTTATTCAATTCAATCTCTTAAAAATCACGGAATTCCGGTAAAATTCGAATACGTACCAGCCCATGTAGACATTCCCGGAAATTAAAAAGCCGATTAATTAGCCACAAAGGCACTAAAACAAGAAACAATTCAGTGTGAAGTTAATTTATCTAAAGGAAAGGCATACTCTCTAATAAACAAAGCCATAGACAATAAATGGATAAAAACATGGAACGAGGAAGTGCCAAACAATGTATTACGTACTATAATAAAAGAACCAATTAAAAAAGTGAAGATGTCACAATAACAAGACTGAGACTAGGTACAACCAAACTAAGTGAAAATAGCATTATTATTATTTTTTTTTTTTTTTATCTCCAACCTGTCCCAATTGTAAAGAGAACGAAACAATAGATCATGTTTTTTGGCACTGTCACAAACATAGTCCGAATTATTCTGACGTTTTATCGACCTTTTTTTTTTTATATCTGTCTGTCGTCAATTAACGACGTTAATCGACGACAGACCGATATAAAAAAAAGTCGATAAAACGTCAGAATAATTCGGACTATCAGAAACGCAAAGAAGAAAGGAAAATATTAATAAAAGAAATGAAAGAAAATAAGATCAAAATCACGACAATTTATGAATTTCTAGCAATTAAAGAATCAGAAAAATTAATACATAAAATTCTGGATTGTTTCCATATTGCTCTGTCATTTATACTCTGCCTCGACATACACGTGCTTATGTCAACACGCCGATCATTCTGAAAAGAAAGCCCTGGACCCTCTCATCCGGACCCGATGAAAATATAATATTGGACAGCGATTTGGAAGTTTATATTTGTTAAGGACTTTATTGGTTATCATGTAGATTAACATCATGTCAGCCGATACCATGCAGCCATATCTTTCTCAAACAAAATTAATCAGTTTCTTCAAGTTACCGAAAACTAACTATCACAACTAAGTAGCCGTGTATTTCAATGTTAATCATTGTTACCATACACACAATTGGAGCTGTTCGTATCAGTACGGCTTGTATAAGATAAATATAAAAAAAATTACATTCAAACACTTCGATTACTTGTAAATTAGTTAAATGTTTGAAGGTGGCGAAACTGCCTTCACCTTTGAGCAAAACCATGGAAGGCCTGATGACGTCACAAATGTTACTGCGTGACGTCATTCAGGCGTGTTTACAACTGTGTTTATTTATAGGCATTTCAGTCAAATCTTCTTCTGTACTGGTGCCCCCTGCATTTTGATACATGCGTTTTTGGACGAATAATTAACCGAAACCCTCACTAATGTGACGAATTTGCCTGCACTAACGTTACCTATCGCCAGACAAAAGTTTTAACAATGCCAAATAAAGTAAGCGACATCAGTACATATGTTGTTTATATGACTATCATACACCTGTGTACCAAATGCAGTTTTGGTATTTGAAATATTGACCGAGTTATGATGAATTCAATTTTTACGACCGGCGGCGTGGCACATGTGTGTAGGAATTGGAGACACCTCGACCCCGATTCACTTTCGTCCTTAGAAACACACCTCGGCCCCGGCACTTTCTCGATCTAGACCCCTCGGCCCTACATATATATTGTGTATTTAAGTAATGTTTATATAACATACATGTTACATAGATATATAAATTAGAAGTATATATATATATAGAACGCTAGTGTCATGATATGATCCCTAATTTTCATCAAAGTCTAAATCTCCATTGAAAACACCGAAACAGGGACGTGAGATCTGCGTGAGTTGCCAATCTCTGTGATACTAATATATACATTGTACGTCTCTGACTGAAAGGAGAACGAAACTGAGCTTATTAGAGTCACTCATAACAGAGACAGTACATTTTTTTTGTATATACGTTTCTGCTCATAAGAAATAAAAACGCTGGAAAGTCATAATAACGCGAACAAACACGTTATTATGCGAAAACCAGTAGACCCTCGAACCAGACATGCACACCCTTACGCATACAAACGCATATTCACTCTTTCCACACACAATAACAAAATGGAATCTCCTTCCCATAGCAGCAGTACAATATTGCACAACACTCGAGGATTTCAAGCCACACTTACCCTATGCAGTCTTTGAAGCCCTCATCACACGCTATAACATTCGCCAGCTTTTATATACCTTTTATCCATATCTTGAACCCTGCACAAAAAAAATCTAACCACTGTCAATTAAATAACCCCCTTTTTTCACGCCTCTGACTCAGAGTCTGTGACAGGTTCCAAGGGCATAATCAACAGCATATTGATGGAGCCCCTGTACCCTAAAGAAGAAGTAAAACACGTTATAACACAAAAAAATCACGTAATAACGTGAAATTAACCTGTAGTAACGCGAATTAAACACGTTTACGTAAATAAACACGTAATAACGTACTTAATAAACACGTAATAACGTAAAATAAACACGTAATAACGTAAAATAAACACGTAATAACGTAAAATAAACACGTAATAACGTAAATTACACACGTAATAACGTAAAATAAACATGTTATAACGTAAAATAAACACGTAATAACGTACTTAATAAACACGTAATAACGTACTTAATAAACACGTAATAACGTAAAATAAACACGTAATAACGTAAAATAAACACGTAATAACGTACTTAATAAACATGTAAAAACGTCAAATAAACATGTAATAACGTAAAATAGACATGTAATAACGTAAAATAAACACGTAATAACGTAAAACAAACATGTAATAACGTAAAATCAACACGTAATAACGTAAAATAAACATGTAATAACGTAAAATAAACACGTAATAACGTAAAATAAACTGTAATATCGTAAAATAAACTGTAATAACGTAAAATAAACACGTAATAACGTAAAATAAACACGTAATAACGTAAATTAACATATAATAACGTAAAATAAACTGTAATAACGTACTTAATAAACACGTAATAACGTAAAATAAACTGTAATAACGTAAAATAAACTGTAATAACGTAAAATAAACACGTAACGTAAAATAAACACGTAATAACGCAAAAGCAAAAGTCGTAATACCGCTTAAAATCACGTAATAACCTGAAATACACACGTCGTTAACTTTTTAAATAGTAAATAGAATAAAGGGCTTTTATGGCATGCAATCTGGAGCTGTGACCCCGCGGTTTGTTCCTCAAAAAAAAAGGAAGTTGTTGAGATGAGAAGCATTATATATGGATATACCTCAAATAATCAAGGAATCTTGTTCCGGCCAGACCCCTAGTTTAACCCCAACCCAAACGTCGTGTTATTTATTTTGCTCCTACGAAATTTGTCTTATTCTTAAAGAGCTATAACGGGTTGCTATGCCTATTCTCCTCAAAGCTGTTACCGCTAGTGCGCGCATGCAACCGTGTACTGTCATAACCGATGTTTGCTCGATTGATAGGTTTTATGTCCGCTTCACTACCGAGTATTAAATTCGTCCTCGTGTATTTTTTATACTGGTAGCTCTATCGGAATCCTGTGTCTAAGAATAGATTATTCCGTCTTTGCGTATTGCAGAGTTATCTTCTCTTGGGAGCAGGTATTGATTGCTACGTCATTGGTTTGTGTGAGAAAATTACGTCGTTTTCTCAAAAATTGATGACGTTACTCTCACAAACAAGTGACGTAACAATCGAATTTGAGACCATGGCTATTAATACATGCGTTTTACTGTTTATTTCGCGTTATCTATATTAGTTTAAAACAGATTATATGCTGTAACACAAGATCGTACATTTAATTTTCATTACTACTGCCTGCGTCATGCCGTTATCTGTTTTCTTACAAAACACACATCTTGATTTTGTTCTTCGTGCACATTTGAATAGCAAATTACATATACTTTTCGAAAAGCATGTCTTACATGTGTATTGCGCTCCTTACATGGTGCTGCAGTCATTCTGCATTTCAAACAAATGAGACTGTCCTCGACGACGAATTTTTTGCTTGGCCTTTTTTTTAATTTTTGACGCAACAAACCCACATATTTTGTATTTCGGCATCATTTGTTTGTGTTTAACTAATAAATATAATTACCAGTGCCAATAGAAGGATAAATTCATAAATATCATTGTAAAGGATGCCTTATTTACAAAGCGTAGCTGTACTGTAAACGTGTACAAGGATTTGTTGGCATGATTCCATAGGAGGGTTTTTCGCGTTATAACATGTTTTGTTTGCGTAATTGCGTGTTTGTTCGCGTTATTACGCGTTTTTGTTCGCGTTACAACGTGTTTTTTTCGCGTAATAACATGTTTTTCGCGTTATTACGACTTTCCAGTATTTCTATTTCTTATAAGTGACTCGAATAGGCTTTCGTAAAGGAGGGCCACAAAACGTATCAAAATATATAAAACCTACCATACAATGAAAGGTTACGAAAATTGGGACTGCCTACACTCGGGTATAGAAGGGAAAGAGCAGACCTCATCGAAATCAGAGACTTATATATGTAATATATACGTCTCTGTCGAAATCTACAAAATCCTAAATACAAATTAAATGTAACATCGACCTCGTAGACCGTGAAAATATGTTTAAACCGGCAGCAAATATGGGTAAAAGGGGGCATCCTGGTCAAGAAACCGTTTTGTCTTGAAGTAAATAAAATGTTTTCAGTAACCGAACAATAACAACATGGAACAGTCAACCGGAAGCGGACTGCGTATTATAATAGATCTACTCACAAACAGCTTACTTTGAGCACACTCGCTCATACACGCACCCACACATGCGCTCACACATACTTTCAGATATGAGAGAAGGAGAGAGACTACTGGGCCGATTTCAATGAAAGTTTTCAATGAAATGGGAGTAATTACCATATCTGCAACCCTGACGTCGTGCATCAGGGTAGTATTTTTTTCATTTCGACTCTTTAATCTTTGTCCTGACAACTCTTCCTTAAATACTAGGACGATTTCAGCAATACTTGTTCATCTGGGCTAACAAGATTTGGTATGCAAGTATGTTTTCGCACGGGGAGGAAGTACAGGAAGTATGTCAGTGACCTATATACTTAAACAAGTGTACAGCTCAGTAAATAAAGAAATCATTACTGGTGGGAGACTATGGATTGCTTTGCAATGCTTTGACTTAGTTAGCCTTTAGCTTACAGTTCTGGTTTATATAAGAGCGGGGGTATTAGTAAGCATTCTAGTTGATATATAATATGGTATAATTCTGTGTTATTATATAGTTTGTTTATTGTAGTTTACAACTGTTCTACATAATTGAAATGCTGTAGGTCATTCCGGTATATATAATTTGTTTGTCATTTTGGTACAGATAATCAAAAATCTGACGGAACGAGGGTGATGGTATTGCCTTCAAAGTTGATCGGCAGTTTTGAAAAATGTAATAAATTGTTTATACAAGCACATTATCTATTTGTGTTTGCAGTTTTGGGTAAATTGTCTTGCCTTTCGTGAACGATTTACTTCCGCTTATACTTGAAGTGATACATTTTGCCAGTCGCGAATTACTTAATTCCACCTAGCTGCTGGCAGCATAGCACAGACGATAGAATATTTTGAATACAAGTGTAACAGTACGTAGAATAGTTAGCTAATTGTTTAGCTGAAAGTTTTCTTTGGGTCGTTTTGTTGGGTGAGTTTTTTTGTTTTTTTTGGGGGGGGGGGGGGGGGGGGGGGTGTTAATAAGTCGGTCATTATTTTCAAACATCGATCTGATTTGATAAATGAATAACATCTTCTGAAGTCGCTCAATTACTTTAGTCCTTTTAGTGTTTTTTTTTTTAAAGATTTGGCTGTCGACGCTTTGTCACTACACAAATTTAATTTACCATAACTCGGTCAATTTGAAATCTGGTATAATAATAATTATAAAAATAATAATGTTTATTTCAGGAAATAGATCATAGACATACATATTACAGTACAACATACATATATATTACTAAAAATATTAAACAGAATATCACAGGTTTTTGGAGCAGTCCAAGGAGCAGGTGATTGGGCATCCCCTTCCTATAAGCTCTCCGGACGCTCAAATACTAATGAACCTACATGAATTAAGTTATCGTCAGTAATAAAACATTGTATTATCTTAAAATATTATATTATATATGAAACTAAAATTCATAACTGATTTTAAGATAAAGGTAATATATTTATACAATTAATACAACACAAACATTGATCTATAAACCTGCGGATAGCCCATGAAAGCTCGAAAGCGCATTTCCAATGGGGTCCATGTTATATTAATCACGGGGAAAGATTTTGGCAGGAGGGAATGATTGACATCATATTAACTTTATTGTCAGTACCTATAGTAATTCCGTAATGACTATATAATCTAAAAAAAACCATATATATATGTTCAGGTTTAAATTGTTAGCCCAACTTAAAATATGTAACGTGACTTTCTAAGTATTTCCAAATAACAAAAATAATACGGTACAGATGTCGTCAGCACGTGGATTGTCGGTATATAGGTGTATTTCAGTCATGTGAACAACATATCTTATGATTTTTTTTTTGGTAGTTGTTGTCAGTTGAAGACGTTTACTAGTTGTCGATGGAAGACCAATCCTGACTTTATTGTGTGCCTTAACTCAGCGCGCCAACAACATTCGGCAGACCTCGGGTGACTCCGCTACGCTCTATCATAGTGACCCGAAGTATTCCGAGTGGCACCGAGACACCTAGACCCGTTCAACCAGACTCTTGTTGTCTACGCAAGGCTACACCAATCATGAATTACAAGTGATCAAGCGTCTGGTTGAACGAGACTAGATAACCACTAAGAATATAAACAATTTGGCGCTGTTTTGACATCTCTTAATTACGTTGTCGCATGTAAGTATAATACAGAATCCTGCCATGTCAGACAGCCGTTCAGAATCAAATGACACCCTTGAAGAGTCTGGAGCACACGAGCAAAACGAGGATTTGGAACGGGTAGTATTTCAGTGTAGCCAATGCAATTCTATCGTTGGAGACTCCTTAGCATGGACTGGCTCCAATGAAATATTGCGCACAATTAGCTTGAAATGTAAGTTTGTCATCACAATCTATTCATTTAATTACCTGACTGTCATTTCATTAGCTAGATTTAAGATGCAGGATATTAGTAGTGTAACAGCCAACAGGGGAGTCAAATATGCACGGCCAGACCACAGGGGTTTGTTACAAACATTTGTACATTGTACATACTGTATGCTATACTAACTTATATGGGCCACAGCACACATAAGCATACAGCTGTGACCCATATCAGTAAAGCTTATATGTGTATTAGACATTTGTAATGAGCACCTGTGGTCAGACACGGATTCAAACTCCAGGGTCTACCAAAATTTTAGACGGACACTCGAACATGGTCACCGACAATTCCACTTCTGCAACATTCTCCCCTCCTTTAACATATGTCTTCGACCCTAAGCCACCACCTATGGATATATTTAGTTGGGCATGTAACCGGAGAGAAAAAAATACACGGCCAGACTATGATTTAAGTCTGAGACTTCCCATTAAACTCTAGATGGACATTCTAACCAATTGAGCTACCTGGTCACCAGCAACCAACCCTGTACAGTTTTTTCTACAATAGTGCAAGTGGGACTGGAAAGGGTCGGTGCTGCAGGGACCCAAAAAATTGTTACATTTGGACCTAGACTGATGTGTTTAAAAGTAGAAGTTTTAGGATCTTAGCCGATCAACTCCCGGTAAAAATGCAAAAAAAACACCACCCATATCATTGTATGTATCAAGGAAGGAGTAGGTATCTGATATCAGATAGACATGACCCATCCTATGTAACGGATGATATAAAAGTGGACACCGCAGTTAAATAGTTCAGGGAACTGACAGATATTGCTCAAGTCAAAGTCTACTCCATCATCAGTAAAATCGACATTACTCAGACAAATATTGCTCAAATTTTACAGTGTTTGGTAACAAAATCATTGAATAATTTATCTGAAGGAAAAACAGATGTCTTGAGCTACCTAAGTTTAAGTTTTCGTACGCTTTTCTCGCCATGAGCTTGAGAGTCATAGATGTCCACAAAATGTTACTGATGTACAATGTAGCTACATGGATGTCTTTTTCCAGTTGAAACCAGGTCACAAAATTTACTCTGTCTCTTATAGAATCAATGTTGCAGTAACACATTTTAAACAAGAGGCCGGGAGGGCCTGTATCGCTCACCTGGATAATAAAACAACCATGGACAATTATTAATATTATATACAATACGGCTACTATTTCCAAATATTGGCTCTGTCTCACAGCAACATCCTTCCCTCATTAGGTCCCTTCTTTCTGCCCGCATGAATTGGGGTGGATTTCAAACATTAACCTCAATTTCTCTTATAGCTTTATATTGGGCCACACCACCTAAAAGCAACTCTCCATTTATACAAAATTGAGTCCCCTTTGCCAAAGGATGCTCTAGATCTACACAAAATTTGTTTAAAATCCCTCCAAATAGTATGAAGAAGAAGGATTTGAAATATTTATTTCTATGTTCCTCCTACTGGACCGCCCCTTCCTCTTTGCTCCCAGGGTGACCACTGTTAAAACAAATTGAGTCCCCCCCCCTTGCCAAATGATGGTCTGGACGGACCAAATTTGATTAAAAAACTCCTAGCATACTGAAGGAGAAGGATTTTAAAGATTACGGTAACCTCAATTTTCCATTCCCCCCCCATTCACCCTTTGTTATACAAAATTGACTTCCCTTTTCCAAACGATGCTCCAGGCCAAATTTGAATAAAAGATAAAATCCCTCAAATTTTACCGACCAAATTATGATAGAATCCCTTTTTCCATACGGTAGAAGGATTTGAAAGATTTTATCTCTATTTCGCCTATTGGACCCCTAGCCTCTCCTCTACCCACAGGTGGGCCACACTCACTGTTTATACAAAATTGAGTCCCCTTGACCAAAGGATGCTCCGGATTCAGACTAATTAGGATAAAATCCCTTAATCCCTGTGGTAGAAAAAGAATTTTAAAGGTTTTACCTCTATTTCCCCTATTGGGCCCTGCCCCCAGGGGGGCCACACTCACTATTTATACAAAATTGAGTCCCTTTTGCCTAAGGATGATCCAGACCAAATTCGTATGAAATCTCTTAATCACTGCGGTAGAAGAAGGATTTTAAAGGTTTTACCTCTATTTCCCCTATTAACCCTGGCCCTCTGCCCCCAGTTGGGTCACACCCACCATTTATACAAAATTGAGTCCCCCTGGCCTAAGGATGCTTGACAAGACCAAATCTGGTCCAAATCTACTGGGTCGTTCAGGACTAGTAGCGTTTCAAAGGAAAAGTTGACGGATGACGGACGCTGCAGTTTGGCAAAATCTCACCATAGTCCTTTGAAGCAGGTGAGCTAAAAATGTAGCACGTTCATCACTGTATGATACAAATATAGAATCTTGCATGATTATCAATCATGCACTGATTGGCAGCAGTCTTTGCCAAGTGAAATCAGGTGCCACTTTTAGCACGCCTATTCGGAGAATAGGGGCCTGGGGGCTAGGCTAATACATTTAAGTCATCCAGGCGGCGGCATCCCACTTACTGCGGTTAAAGATTTTGGGCAAGTTTTTTCCAGACAGTGTTGGATCATCACACTCGATACACTGTTGTCTGTTATACGGTTGATGTATTTATATGGAATGTTTCAACAATACACTGAACCATATTTTCATATTTTAGGGGCCGAAAATTAAACAGCCTAACTGGACTTGGTTAAAAATTTTGGGCAAGTTTGCATGTGCAGTGTTGGATTGGTCACCACCATCAAAATACGCTGTTGACTATTTCATGTTGTCTGGTCATTTCTTCTTTTGAATGTACAACATGTTAAGGTACAGCAAAACTTTGTTATATTGCCACCAATTGTTCAAAGAAACATTGGCACTATAAAGGGGTTTGGCAATGAATTGAGGGAAACAAGGAATTCTTGTTTAAAAACATGATTAACGGACCTGAAATATGTCGACAGTAAGCAAGCAGGTAAATGAAATGATGGGCCGTATATCAAGGTTTTTACTGTACACATGTTTCTATTGATATTTCCTATCTTACAACATATATCACCAATAGGCAAGCAATGCTGTTCTCTTGTTTAAAAAGGTTCAGCAGCACTTTAAAAGTTTCAAAGGATAAATAATGATTGATCAATACAAGTTCAACATTTATATTGATCAATCAAATCAGATCCATACTACCACATTGGCACCAGGGTCCTTCCCCACCCCGGGGGTGAGGACCATTAGGGAACTTTGATGATAGCTTGAAAACACTTTGTTCATCTTACATCCTTAAATATTGGGTATTTTGAGATAAATGCACCTAACCTACCAAGATTGGCCCTTCTGTTTGACTTCCAATTTCAAGGGACTAAGTCCCTTTGAATATAATGATGTGATCTGTAGACGTTAAGTCCTAAATGACCTTAGTTAGGAGGCGGGGAGGGGGTGACTATAGGTTCGCACTCCGTCTGTCCATTCTTCTGCCCAATAAGTTTGTCTGGGGCATATCAACTATACTTTTTCATCTGGAGTAACCAGATTTTGTGTACAAGGACGTCATGGGATGGCGGAGTGCAAGAATTAGGTCACCATGACTTGACCTTTGACCTTTACTTTTGAAAATGTTTGTCCGGAGCATATCTTCTATAATATTTCATCTGGAGTAACCAGATTAGGTGTACAAGGAAATCTCGGAACGGCGAGTGCAAGAAGTAGGTCACTATGACCTCACTTTGAACAGTAGGTATATCCTGACATAAGTGTACTGTTTGTTAAATATAGAAATCATTACCGGCGGGGGACTATGAATTGTCTAGCAATACTTTGCCTTGTTGTTAGTTGATATGACTCTTAACCTAAAAAACCAAACAGAACCAACCTGACCTATAGCTAGCCATGCACATATATATACCATTTTTGTCATTCAGAGTTGAATACACTATCACACCTACTAGGATTGGCCAGTCCTGCAACTGGAAACATAGTTCTTGGGTGATATGCCATGAAAATTGTATATATATGCAAGACCACACACTTGTGTTTTTCTAACGAACCAGAAAGCTTATTGCGCGGACAAATATATATTCACGAGTGCGCCAACACGAGTTCCGCGCACATGTAAAGATATATGTCCGCGCAATAAATGAGTGCTTTCTGATACGTTAGAAAAATACAAGTGTGTGGTCTTGCTTTTATCACATACCTTCCGTATTTGGTAGAGATTGATACAAAGATTTTATAAACTTTGATATTTTTTGCAAATGCGGGGAACTTTTCAGTTCGCCATGACAAGGGGGTTCCCATAAAAAGTAGGTCCGGCTGCCTAGTAGGTAAATATAACATTCCGTATTGCTTATGTGCAATACAGAACGTTGTATTTCATGGTCTGAAAATTGCTTGTATTACTATAACAAGATTCAACAGGTATGTGATAAATATCCTAACCCTTTAGTGGCCTATACGTATACCCATGTACCTGTATATACAGTTGCTGAATATGAATAGAAGAACACAATCATGATGCTAGGATTGGTCCTAATTATTTAATCAATTATGAAATATGAAATATATTAGAATGTCAATCCAAAACAAATTTAAAAAAAAAAAAAACAAAAACTTCAAAATTACCATGTTGATGATTTTTATAAAATCTTTTTAATTGTTTGGTTGAACAAGGACTTTGATAGCATTCTTATTTGGTGGTTTGAATCAGAATTGCTTTATATCCAATCTAGAGTATACGTACTATAGTCAGCAGGCAGATTTGATTTTTTTTTACAAGCCCACCCATATATTCATAGTAAAAACTGCAAATTTTCACTTGTCCTGACAAAAACTGTAAGCGAGCTATAGTGAAATAGTGGGGAATGTGCATCCCCATATATATATAGGTCAACATGGCAACTACAGGGTTTATCAGGGTATGTTTAAGGTCCGTTTAAAGGACCCATTCCTAATAAATAAAAAAGTGTGTAGTATTTCCAAATTTGTCCCTTCAAAATTCTCCATTTGGAAATCAAATAAATGACGGACTTCTCAAAGTGCATATGTAGAAAGGACAGAATGGCCATGTTGTCATAAAGAATGTTTGTTTGTTGTTGAATATTGTACACGACGTTAAATACAGATTATTATTATCATTATTATTATTATAAAGAAAGGCTTAAATATATAAAAGTTGTACAATTAATCTTATTTCATGTTTACAGAGTTGTTGTAATGATAAATCCACATTTCCTGAAATGGCTACTGCATCGATGACTTTTTCTCAATTTTATGGCAGGGTCCATTTCCCCCCAAAAAATCTAATAAAGCCCCGATCTAAGGAAAAAGAGCTATACATGCACAATTGGTCTTCAGTATTCTGTTCAATTTTAAGATTTCATTCTTTTTTCAGATGTTAGCAAGAAAGTGGAAGTGAAAGACAGACTGATCACATCAAAAACAGGCACAGACTTGGGAAGGTAGATAACATTTTATTTCCAGATGAATTTCAATCCCTATGTAGAGGATCTGTCATAACTTTCCCTTCATATTAGATTTATGATACAAGTTTTGGATTTTTCATTGTGTGCGGGCCTCTGGCGAGCAAATATGAAAAATCCAAAATGAGTATCATAAATCTAATATGATGTTTGGTTTGGGTTAGTATTGTTAACGTCCTATCAACAGCTATGGTCATTTAAGGACGGCCTCCTCTGTGTGCAAGTTGCATGCGTGTAGTGTATGCGTGTGTATTTTGGGAGGTTGGATATTTTTCGTATTTGTCTCCTTGTGATAGTGCGAAATTGATGCTACCACACTGAAACATACTGCCGAAGACAACCAGCAGAACACCCCACCCGGTCACATTATACTGACAACGGGCGAACCAGTCGTCCCACTCCTTAATTGCTGAGCGTTAAGCAGGAGTAGAAACTACTATTTTTACAGACTCTGGTATGTCTCGGCCAGTGGACAGAACCCAAAGCCTAGCTTCCTGACAGGGGCCAACCGCTCAACTAAAGACCAAAAGTAAGGCATTGTCAAGGGAGACATTAGAAAAAAGAAAGTTGTTTAGAAAGAAGAGAAAAGATAAGATCCCAGATTTGGTCAACTCTTACGATCATGCAATGGGGGCAGCAGGTACAATTCTTACGCCCTACCCGCAGGGACCTGTATAATTGTGATCTTCGTATTACACATGTTTTTTTTGTCGTATTTCGTGTCGTCATTTCCGTATTGCGTATTGGGCATTCCATTACCGTAGTGTAAATTATATTAACACCAGGTAAACAATAGTACATGTGCGTGACGATGATATGTCAACACCCGATATCGAGACTTAACTTAGAAATGTGTAATCACACGTACTTCAGAAATAAAGCTTATGATACAAAGACATTAATTAACTCATGGGAAGACACTGAAAATAAGATCAGACGACTTCAAGAAAGTTGTATTTGAGATGCATGGAATGCAGACTGGTATGTTTTGTTTACCGACCTCACCTGTACATATATATCACATGCTAACAGTAGTTCAAAAGCTCTTGGTCGCTACGACTTTTGTTGTCAAACGAGTTACGCTCTGTCAGATAGATCATTTCACAAATGCAATTACAATAACTCTGTGAAAAAAGTGGTTTGGAAAATATCAAGATCCATATAAAATACAAGTGCATGTGCGTGCACATGATAACGACATACCATGCGATAGCCTATGGTTACATATGTTCCTGACATGGACATGTAAATAATAATATACCATGCGTAAGCGGGTTATGAAATGATGTTCAAAGTGTACATGATTGAGAGTAATGTTGCTCCATAAAAGAACAGTAAATTGACAATTTCATATAGTAATTTAATGTATTTGTTTAGTATAGTAAAGAAAATAACTGTCATTGTATGAATTCTATCCCTCTGCAAAAAGTTCCGATATTTTTCAAGGTAGACAACTCTCATCAGGATCAAAATTATTGTAAAATGTAAAATAAATGAATTACAAAGACTTTGTGTGTATTTGGTTTAATTTTTCACTCTTTTTGTATAAACTATGTGTCCTATTTGCTTTTAGCTTGAAATGTATATAATAACTTTTATCCATATAATTTCAATAAAAAACATGTTGTAGATATTTTATGACCATAACCATTATGTTAAACTTTCATTGAATTCTGCTGGTTAATTGCGAAAGGGTTGAGCCTCCTTAAATTGGATTTTTTACACACTCAAAAAATAGAAAAATCAACAGGAGCTGTGAAGATAATATTTGTAAAATATATGTATATATACATATGTAGCCATAAATAGTTTTAAATGTCCATATGACGGTAAAAATATAAATAAAACAAAACACGAAGACTTTCCCGTATAAATAAGTTTTAAATGTCCATGTGATGGTGAAAATATAAATAAAAAAACACGAAGAATCAGCCGATTATAGTCTCCATGTTTTTTTTTATTTATATATCTATGTATATAGATGTAAAAAATAAATAAATGGAAAAATTCACCAGGAGCTGTCGAAGTAATATTTACTGATAATACTTTGTTTGTAGTACATATAACACACTGCAGTGCGAGGTATGCAAGGGCGACTTAGGCCGCATGTACAGGACCACCCCGGGAAACCTGGACCACATGAGACAGGTCTACACGTTGTATGTGGAGAAAATCTCAAGGTAATGGTTATGCAGTATAGAAATACACTTAAACTTTTGGAGAAATTTTCAAGGTAATGTAGTCTGTAGAGAAATATTTGAGTTCAAATTTTGGATGAAATTTTCAGGTAATTTATTTATAGAACTACAGTCAAGTTTTGGGTGAAAAATCTTAAGATGATGAATAGGAATAGGCTCAAGTTTGGGTTAAAAATAAGTTTATAGAAATAGTTAATTCAGAAGAAGTTGTTTAAAGGAAAAGTTGACGGATGACTGACGGACGCCGCACCATGACATAAGCTCACCTACTCTTCGGGCAGGTGAGCTAAAAACTAGAACAGTCCCAAGAACTGATGGAAATGTAGTGTATAGAAATAGTTAACTCAAGTTTGGGTCTCAAGAAAAGTATTGAAATTGCATTCAGGTTTTAGATAAAAATCTCAGGGAAATGTAGAAAGGACATGAAGTATGCCTAAGTTTTGGAAGTAAATCTCTAGGTAATGAATGAAAACATACTCGAGTATTGCGTGAAAATCTCAAAGATTAATGTATAGAAATATACACTCTAGTTTGAAGGATACTACTGCCAAAAACACTGTGACTACATATTAAGACCTGTTTTTTTCAGAATGACTATAGCTTTGATAAATTCCTCTGGCTATTTTTAAAGAAAAACAGTAAAGATGAAATAAACATTGTATAATACACAACAGAACATATTCTAAGTGTAAAAAAATCTGCAGGACAACACCTGGATTCGCACCCTGAACTTCAGATTGTTAACCCTTTCACCCCTATGTAACTTTAGTAGACTCTACCATGCATTGATATTGATGAGTCCATTTTGGTCTACAGTGGTGAAAGGGTTAACTGTCACTCTAGCCTATCTGGCTAATAGAAGTGTTGTGGACAACTGTGCTACAATTATAGTCAAAATGAAACTAAGGGGAGGTAACTGTATATAAAAACCAACAATGCAGAACAAATCCTTTAAAATGTTGTTGACCTCTGTGACCTTTAAAGTAGGTTGAGATCATTTTCATTTGCAAACTTTGGTGAGCTCTATCCCAGGAAGCGACCTGCCAAATATTATAACTTTATGCCTTTCGATTATTAAGTCTTTTGATATTTTTGACATATTAGACACCTGTGATCTTGAAAGTAGGTCAAGGTCGTTTTCATTCTCAAACTTTGTCAGGCTCTATCTCAGGAAGCCAACAGCCAAATATGAAGGTTTTATACCTTTAAGTTCATCAGAAGAAGTCGTTTAAAGAGTTTGACATATTTGACCGCTGTGACCTTGAAAGTAAGTCAAGGTCATTTTCATTCTCAAACCTTGTCGGGCTCTATCCCAGGAATCCACCAGCCAAATATAAAGATTCTATACCTTTCAGTTCTTCAGAAGAAGTTGTTTGAAGCGTTTGACACATTTGACTGCTGTGACCTTGAAAGTTAGTCAAGGTCATTTTCATTTTCAAACTTTGTCGGGCTCCTACCAACGAATCTTTCAGTTAAATATCATGGCTCTACGCTTGTCCGTTCTTCAGAAGAAGTTGTTCAAAGGAAAAGTTGACGGATGACTGACGGACGCCGCACCATTTTCTGGGATGTTTTTCTTTTTAATTTAAAAAAAATGATTTGAATTGAGTTTATGTCAGTAAAATAGAAGAGGCAGGAAAACAATGAATTTTGATTAAGAATAGATATTGTACAGTTCATTAATATTGCAAAATAAAAATGCTTTATTATATATCGCACGTATATGAAAAGCGTTGTGTTTTGGTGCTCTGCTGTTCCATTTTGGGTACTCTCATGTAAGAAAGATTTTCTTGATATTTTTCTTGTATTTTTTGTTTCAGTACACTTTTGGAAGTTGTAACCAAGGCGATGATGTAAACATCAACGACCTTGTAACCTTGCCCAATGTCAAAGAGCTTGTAAAGGAACTCAAAAAGGTACAGGAGTTAAGTATTAGGAATTTAGTCAAACTCATACAGAATTTTATGGCAGATGATTACAACATTAATATCGAAGATGGAGATTTAATATTTGACCTCAGGGTACGCTGAATTGTAAAAAAAAAAATGTAAATGAATCCGTTTCTGACATGAGGCTTGCACTACACAAATTTAATGTCCAGGGGTTTAGGAAAAGGTCACTCCAAGTGAGGAATTTTCTAATTGGGTTAAACAGTTTTACTACAAAGTTTCAGTTTGCGGAGGATTGTGCCCCAATTATGAGTTCTCTAGGGTTTCCCTCTGCAACACCCTCGGACATGAAAGAAGTTACAGTCAGTTAAAAACTATTTCGGTTATTAACTCATTCACCCCTGAAATTTCATACTGAACTATTCCTACCTTTGAATTGGAACAGTTGTACTGTGTCTTCAGGGGTGAATAAGTTAATTTCATCATGTTGACAGTTTTCGCATTGAGGCATCAGAATATTCCCGATTTAATGATGACACATCATTGTTGTCTTTTCGTGACCTAAAAACACATGGATTGTTCGCTATGGAAAATATCTTTTTGAACATGTCAGCTACTAGTCATTTTACCAGCTAAGTATGTTTGGAGGTTAAATGAAAGGTACATGAACAAGCAGAAAATGTCTGAATTATTACTAGAGATGGAAAAATGCACGGTCAGACCAGGGTACGAACCTGGGACCCCCCGAACTCTAGACGGATGCTCTACCAATTGAACTACCTGGTCGCCCACGATCGACCCAGTCTAGTTCCGCTACATTCTTCTCTCTTTTTCATAGTCTTCGCCCAAAAGACACAACTATTTACAACTCGGGTTCGGGTATCCCCTTGTAAAGCGTACACCAAATGTTTGAAACAAAGAATTGAGATACCTGGTCACTGAGGATCGACCCAGGGCCAGTCCAGCTCCGCTACAGAATATTGATATTTCCTTTGTTCCCTGAAATTTCGTAATAATAACTTCACCAATAATCTTCCATTATCATGTTTTTCCATCTTATGCCTGCTCTTGTAAACAAATAATCTTGCATTATCATGTTTTTCCATCTTATGCCTGCTCTTGTTAACAAATAATCTTCCATTATCATGTTTTTCCATCTTATGCCTGCTCTTGTAAACAACTTCTCAACAGATTATCAAGCGTATCTATCTTGGAGAAGATCTATGCTGTACTAAGTATGAGTTACTCCCCATGATGAAAAAAAAGCAGTTCTAGCCCTAAGATAGCCCCCACTTACTGGTAATGATGATCCAGGCCTAAGATAGCCCCCACTTACTGGTAATGGTGATCCAGGCCTAAGATAGCCCCCACTTACTGGTAATGGTGATCCAGGCCTAAGATAGCCCCCACTTACTGGTAATGGTGATCCAGGCCTAAGATAGCCCCCACTTACTGGTAATGGTGATCCAGGCCTAAGATAGCCCCCACTTACTGGTAATGGTGATCCAGGCCTAAGATAGCCCCCACTTACTGGTAATGGTGATCCAGGCCTAAGATAGCCCCCACTTACTGGTAATGGTGATCCAGGCCTAAGATAGCCCCCACTTACTGGTAATGGTGATCCAGGCCTAAGATAGCCCCCACTTACTGGTAATGGTGATCCAGGCCTAAGATAGCCCCCACTTACTGGTAATGGTGATCCAGGCCTAAGATAGCCCCCACTTACTGGTAATGGTGATCCAGGCCTAAGATAGCCCCCACTTACTGGTAATGGTGATCCAGGCCTAAGATAGCCCCCACTTACTGGTAATGGTGATCCAGGCCTAAGATAGCCCCCACTTACTGGTAATGGTGATCCAGGCCTAAGATAGCCCCCACTTACTGGTAATGGTGATCCAGGCCTAAGATAGCCCCCACTTACTGGTAATGGTGATCCAGGCCTAAGATAGCCCCCACTTACTGGTAATGGTGATCCAGGCCTAAGATAGCCCCCACTTACTGGTAATGGTGATCCAGGCCTAAGATAGCCCCCACTTACTGGTAATGGTGATCCAGTCCTAAGATAGCCCCCACTTACTGGTAATGGTGATCCAGGCCTAAGATAGCCCCCACTTACTGGTAATGGTGATCCAGGCCTAAGATGATGTACCCTGGACAGGTGTATCTTTGTTTTACACTAGAGTTGAGGTGGGGGGAGGGATTCCCCTTTTTTAAAACAATTGTATGACGTGACATCAACAATGCTTGTAATGCCAACATTGAATTGAGTATATGACAGGGTCAACACTGGGTAAGAGAAAAAGGTTTCATTCACCTTCTTAAGGTGAGATACCCGGGGTATCTCCACCCTCGGGGGGAAATCCTTAATCTCAAGTTGCCAAACACTCTGCAATCCTCGCGTTTTGCAACTTAAGAATCTTCTCCACTCGGTTTGAAATTTCATGTCTCACCTCAAAATCGTGAAAGTATTATTCTAGCACAGATGTGAATAAAGATAAACCTGTTTAGTATACATGGACACGAGTTCTTCAGTGTTACATGTGCCTCTTCTTTATGATAAATTCAATGCTTCTAAAACTTTTAAATATGCATTCTTGGTTTGTTTTCTTCAGCTTCAGACTGTTATTGTGAGTTTGGACCACAGAGTCGAGATATTGGAGTCCAGTATGCATATTGAAGAGGTAGAAAATCACCCTCCAGCTGTCGGCAGGCTCGATGCAGAAATCGTTCGACAAAAAAGACAGAGCTCTGATATGACGAGAGCAAACAGGATGGACACAGAAACAGTTCAATTAAAAAGAATGGACACAGAAGCTATGCGAGTAAAAAGAATAGACCAGGAAACAGTCCGAGGAAACAGAAAGAACAAAGAAACCGTCCGAGGCAGCAGAATGGACATGGAAACGATGAGATACGATAATGAAGCCATGGTGCCCGAGTCTTTTCACTCGGAAAGACACAGTGAGAAAGTTTACCGAAAAAACGGGCCGCAATCGAGTGGGTTGAGGAACCCCATAAAGAATGATGTCAGCCCGCAAGGGTCCCCAACGAAGGGCACTTACAAGAGGAAAAGGGTTTTATGAGTTAAAAAAAACCCAACACATTGTTGGTTGTGTTCAGCAGACCAGGATCCCTGTCCCACTGCACTGTTTTTTTCCTTCTTCCATTTGGATGTTCACTGTAACTGTAGCATAGTTCGGCCAGGACACTTTCGTAGACCAGGTACATGTAGCTCAATTGGTTCGAGCAATAATATTACAGTTTGAAGTCCAGGGATCGGAATTCTGGTCTAGCCATCCTAACTATTTACACTCAAAAACATTTTTGTTGACGATTTTATCTTTATTATTTCTCATATAAGTCCTGGTTTTCTTTCAAGAAATGGTTTATCAAAGCTATAGTCTTCCCGGAAAAAAGACAGTTTCCAATACTTAAGTTAGTTTCTGGCCGTGGTACGGGGATCCCAAGATGCCTTCAGTGTTTAGCAGACTTAATATACTTGTGATTTTAACTCATTCACCCCTGAAGACACATTTGAACTCTTCTAATTCAAAGGTTGGAAAAGTTCATTATGAAATTTCAGGGGTGAATGAGTTAATTTCCATTATGCATATTGAGGAATTTTACTTCTTATTTGGTTTTAGAGATACATGTGTAGGGACGTTGAATTAAGTATGTTTTCTGTTTTAAGTGCTCTGTTTAAATCCTGTTGAGTTTTAACGTTAATTGTTATTGATGATTTCATATGCAGTATAATTTGTGACAATACTTCAGTTTTGGATTCAAAGGTCTCCTAAGTAATAACGAGAGTTTGATCCAATATTGGCACTGGATCCGAACGAACAAAAGTTAGTTGAATGCATATTTCTTCGATAGATATATGGGCAGTACCATAATAACGAAAGTGCAGGCAAAGAAATTTGTCAAATTTTCAGGGCTATAAGCCCCTTTATCAAGACAGAAACATGAACATTTACATATCATAACATAAAACAGTGATGAACAGTCACCATGGAACAATAATTCAACGAAAAATACATAATCAAAACAGCCAGTAGTTATAATTACTTATATGAAATATTACTGTTGTAATTGCTTATCCACTTGCGATATATAATTTTCATTCATAACTGGTGACAAACCATTGCTGAAGCCAGTATCGTTATCATTTTCAGCAGATTTTATGAATTGCGAGAGATGAATGTCTTGTAAGTGCTAATAGGTAAAATTCAGAACTTCAGAATCATGATAAAACATCTTTATAATTAACTCGAAGGGGCATAAATTTACTGGAGCCATATAGCGTCTAAAAGTTAGTAAAATCACTGTAAATGTGTGAAGAGTCCTTTTGCGTTGCTGAATTTGCCTTTTCTGTTATCTTAGCTTCTGGAACCTGTTGTTAAAAGTCCTGATCTCCTTAAACAAAATTTCATCTGGTACACATATATGTGTCAAAAAATATTTTAATTAAAAACGAAAACTATATTCCTATTAAGTAAAGATTCAAACAATCACCTACAGACAGGAAATACAGAAATATTCAAAAATTTAATTATTGAGGTTTGAAAATTTGATGTAATTTCTCATGTAATATTCCATGTTTCTAATTAATTACTGATCCGTGATCATCACACTGACATGAGCCCAGTTAGTATGCCTGGGTATAGGCTAGAGTAAATTAATATTTTATAATTTTTATGGGAATGCCATTAATTGTTTATTTTCCGGTTCAAATAGAACAGATTTGTAAAAAGCATTTTAAAAAATAATCTATTTACATTGGTATATAACTGTATGTGGTTTACTTCACATGTAGCAAAATTAAATTTGTTTTGCTTTGTTAAAGTTTTCACAGTTGTATGTAATTTTTTTTAGAAATTACATACACTTTTATGGATATTTGAATTAACTTTATAAACATATGAATTGTTTGTATGAACATCCATATATACTGTGCATCTATATATATTGTATGAACATGAGTATGAACATCCGTATATACTGTATGAACATCCGTATATACTGTGTGAACACGAGTATGACCATCCGTATATTCTGTGTGAACTTGAGTATGAACATCCATATATACTGTATGAACATCCATATATACTGTATGAACATGAGTATGAACATCCGTATATACTGTATGAACATGAGTATGAACATGAGTATGAACATCCGTATATACTGTATGAACATGAGTATGAACATCCATATATACTGTGTGAACATGAGTATGAACATCCATATATACTGTATAAACATCCATATATACTGTATGAACATCCATATTTACTGTGTGAACATGAGTATGAACATCCATATATACTGTATGAACATCCATATATACTGTGTGAACATGAGTATGAACATCCATATATACTGTAT